AGCCAATGGTGGTTACGGGAGTGACACGAGCGAGCATGCAGTGAGTGAATTCGGATGGGACAGCAGCGCCACATTTGTCTCTGGCAGCGGCGGTGCCACGCAACATCGCTCAGTTTTGCAACTTACCTAGTTCTAGAAACGTTGGTTCCTACTTGGGCGCTTTTGTACGAATGTGTTTGTCATAAAAAAAGTGTTCTTGATGCCCACTCTGTTCCTGATCGCTCACGGGTGGGGCGATGGCGAGCTGCTTTCGTTCGTAAAAGCACTGCATCAGTGCAGCGAACTTAGAAAGGCAGCGTGCGGGAGTGATTAAAAGCTTGCAGAACGCTTACAACTGCACCACATGCAGTAACAAGCAGTTAGCTGAAGATGCTTATAGCAAAGTGATTAAGTCCTACTGGCGTGTTTGCCGCATATCCGCCATCACGCCTCCGAGCATTTCTGGTGCTTATTCATTAGACATCACCTTACTCCGTGGTGATAGCGGCCCCTTTGAAAGTTTTTATCCCCTTCACCCCATTGCACTTTTGTGCATTGCGAGAAAGGCAACTTTCGGACATTACTGTGATGCTGAACAATTCTTGAAAGTGTTCGCTCAAGTCTACGAGGTGGTAGATGTAGCAAAGGCAGGGACTTTCTGTAACGCTGTTTCATACCTGGAATGTCAGCTGAAAGCCCAAAAAACAGACGCCGAAGAGTTTCAGCGTAGAAAATTTCAGACGTTTTTGTCAGTAGACGGCGATAGGGCTTGTGATGCTGTCGTGAAATCATTTGAATTTTTAGGCATGTCTGAAAAATTCACATCCTCAGCGGTCTGGGCATTCACTCCAGTGGCTGAATTGGTCACGGGCTCCCACGTCCTTTTTTTACATAGGTGGCATGAAATGGCAGCACTGCTAAATGGTCTGACCACACGTGGGTCTTGCAGCTCGTTTGGCTTATTGATGTAGTGCTGCGACCCCGCCAAGGGTGTCTAGGAGCTAAGATACTCGGCTGCTGGCCTGTAGGTTGCAGGATAGAATCCCGGCTCCTGCGGCTACATTTTCATTGGAGGCGAAAATGCTCTAGGCCCGTGTGCTCAGATTTGGGTGCACGTTAAAGAACCCTAGGTGGTCGAAATTTCCGAAGTCCTCCGCTACGGCGTCTCTCATAATCATGTGACAGTTTTGGGATGTTAAACTCTATGTATCAATCGATGCAGTGTTGCGTCCTCTCCCAATGAAGGGAGAGGGGAGTGCAGCTTTGCATAGCCTTGTGCCATTGCTTTCTGCATAAGGAAAGGGCTTTTTCACGACGTGAAAAAGCCACACGCCGAGACGTTACGTGCATGTGTGGTCAGGCTTCAAGTTACAGCAGCTTTGGCTGTGTTGTCGCACTATCACAGGCTCCCCCAAAACATTCAGCTGTGGTTAATTTCAACTTGCGTGTTCTTCTGCTTCTTCCAAACATTAAGCAGCTAACTTGCTCACTTTTTGTCTCAGAGGTTTTATTTTGGCCAGATATACATATTTTTTCTTATTTATTGTACATACTGAGAACATTCTGAGTGTATGTGGTAAATACACTCAAACCTCGTTGTAACGAAGTAAAATTGACTGATACATGGATATAAGAAACTGAATTAGTCTATCAAATAGTCTATCAAAAAAAAAAAAAAAAAAAACGACCATAGTGTGTTAAGTATATCGTTTTCTGTGAAGTTTGACGCTCGTTCGATGCGGCTCTTTCAAAACTCCCGCGCCGACCTTACAGTCACGCCCCGCCCGGCCGAGAGACCCGTCCTCCTCACGTAGCCAGCGGAGTGGATTGAGGAAGTGCTCAGCGGGTCACATAACTGAGAAGCGGCGCCGCGGTGCAAAGCGATTTCCCTCTCAGGACGGCAACAACTGCGTCTCCGCTGCTACCATGGCTGCTACCCTCTGCACCGAAAAAGGAAAACTCTCCCCGACAGCTTTTTTTTTTCTCTCTCTCTGTGCGCGGCCTTGAAAGGAGAAGCGTCTCCTTGTACGTGCAGAGACACAAAAGGGAGAAGCGTGGGCTTAGCGTGGCACAGGCCGACACCCTGGGGGTGCCGCACAGGCACGTCGCAGATTGGCATTTGAGAAAGAGAAAACAATTTGCCACAGTCTTTTCTTTCCTTTTTTTTTCTTTTACATTGTTGGGCGCAGTGTTGAGAGGTGCTGCCGCGGGATTGCGCATGGTGCTGAGAGGACTTTCGTAGCTCGGTATGTTCTCATTAACCGTTGCAAGTGCTTGCGTGTTCGAATTACAGGGCGTTTTCGCTCATTGGAATACACATAGCTTTGACGGGACCTCAGCGCGAGTTTGAATTACCTGAAAAAGTTCGAATTAATGAGGTTCGACTGAGTTTATTTTCCATGGCCCACGTGGTCGCGTCGCGGTACATCGGGCTGCGAGGCGGTTTCCTTCTTTGTATGCTCGTAGGTGTGCGCCCATCTAAGCATACATTGCCATGGAACTGTTATAATCTATATAACGAAATAATGGATATAATGAAATAACTGCGGCTCCCCTTCAAATTCATTATAACGAGGTTTTAATATATGTTCCCTTATTTTATATGAGCGCCTGATTTTTTTTACCACTCGAGGGTTTGCACACAGTTTTCCAAGCAGACATGATGGTCATGGAATTTGCTTTTAGTCAAGAAAAACCTGAAAAAGTCAGGGAATTTGAAAAAATCAGATTGGTACACACCCGGTAAAGTCACTGAGGGCACTTACAAAAAAAAAAAAAACAGAAAGCCGTGAGAGCTTGCGCGCCCACAACGTGCGAGCGAGCAGCGAGAAGCAACGTTTCTAGACTAGGTAGGTTGCAAAACTTCCCGCGCCAGACTACTCGTGACACGGCTCCGAGACAGCTTCCGGTTTGATGGCACTGGCGGCGCAACAAGCTTCTACTAGCAGATGAAAATGCGTAGTCGTTGTGGCAAGACGCCGTGGCGGCCGTTCTGAAAGAGCTTTGCCAACAGTATATTATCAAGATTTGTTGTGCTGCCGCAGAAACTTAATACTGCGTAATATTTAGCGGTGTAAGGCAAATACAGTATAATTATGGTTTTCTGAACTGCCCAAAATAAACAATGCTTGATATATATAGCATAACATACGAGTCTGTCGGTTAGTTGCTAGTTGGTGTACGTTCGCAATAGATTTTTAGATGCGAAAAACCCAATTACAATGTCTGGCATCCTCTTTTGTGGCCATCTTTTTCGGGCTTGAAAATAAATTACAACTATGTGGCGCAATCTCGTGGCTTTTGTGTGGTTATGCAGTCAGCTTTTTTTTTTTTTTTTTGATGTCAGTCACATTCTTTAGCAACTTAGACCGTCGAAAAGCTATGCGTGCAGCCATTTTCTTGAGCATGTCTTCCCTTTGCTTCTTCTGGAGTTCCTCTAATGAAACCTGTTAACACAGCTGCAGCCAAAGCTTCGAGCAGAGATCGCACTTTGGGGTATCGGCGAGCACTACGTAGTCATTACTCACGAGTCTGCCTGCTGACGCATTGGGACAACAGGAACACACTCGCAGCTTTTCTACGTCTTCCAGAAGTTCGGCCCATTGAGTGATGGTATCTGCATTGCCAGGCGACTTGGCTAAATGATGGTGACGGCTGCTAATGGTGACTGTCGTGTCTTCTGCGACAACAAAGCATTTCTCCACAAATAGCGCATTTTTTTTCTTTGAGCCCTAGAAACACCACAAGACGTCTTGTCTCGCCATTCTCAACAACTTTCTGCCAGCATGCAAACAAACGTTTTTTATGTCTTGAAACGAAATGACGCCACTAGTTGACGGCATGTCAGGACTTATTTCACTGTCTTCGAGCTCAGTGCTCGGAGATAGTCTATTTTTTTTCGCCGATGATATTCTGGAAAATACGCTTTCGCTTCTTTGTCACGGGTTTTGGAAGGTAAGTGGGCAAATTTGGGATATCCGTGGAATGCATCTTCCCATGAGGCCCCACTTTCTGCTGGTGATTTGTACCTTTTTACTATCGATGATGTGAGTGAAAAGCCTTCAGGATATTCTCCTCATGAAAGTGCATACAACACATGTGATGTGCTGGACAGTTTCTTATTTGCACGAGGAATAGTGTGGTCCCATACCTTTCGCTGCTCAGGTACACGTGGGCACAAAACAAATGTTGTGGTGTCTCTCATTTTCTGTAGCTACTCTACAGCTGAGAACGCAACATCTGGGCATGATGAAAACATGCAACACATACAAAGCAGAACAGGGCGCGCTGAAGCACAAAACTGTTCACGCAGAAAGAAGTCTCCACAGATATCGAGGCACTGCAACACGCGCAGGCGATGGAGGTTACGGGAGTGACACGAGCGAGCTAGGTGTTCTGTGAGCGAGCATGCAGTGAGTGAACCCGGATGTGACAGCAGCGCCACATTTGTTGCTGGCAGCGGCAGCGCCGCGCCGCGCAAAATCGCTCAGTTTTGCAACTTACCTAGTCTAGAAACGTTGGCGAGAAGCACGTGCATGTGGCAGACGTCGTCTGTTCCAGGCTATTTCTAGAAGCTCGTTTCAGGTGCTTTTTGGCCATAATTTTGGCAGTATCAGTTAGCTACTGCCGCTGGAACATTTGTCACACCTAGTTATTCATGTTATACACAAAAATTTCAAAAATTTTTGCATTACGAGGTGCTATTACGATTTTTATCTGTCGCGTCCATAGAAGCATATGTAAAAGATGGCAAGAGGCTAAAAGCGTCATCTGCGTAGCGTTGGCGTAAACCACATCACTCTGTGACACTATCGCATCCCCCTCGCCCGCTGGCACAGCCTTGGAGTTTCTCCTCCTCGAATACTTCTTTCTCCGTGTGTACTGCCCTGTTTCCGGGGGGGACGGGTTGGGAAGGAGAAAGGAGAACGAAAGCTGTTTCTTTTACTAAGAAACCTTTTTGCTGCCTGTGTCAAAGCAGAGAAAGTGTTCTCCTCTTTTAAAGAGGTTCCTTTCGCTTCTAGGGCTGCTATGGATGGAGAGTACCTCCTGGCTGACCAGAGTAAGGTTCCCCTGTTGACTCGCTGGAATGGCAGCCTGTGTGCTGTGGTCAACCTCTTTGAGGAACGGGCTGCCGACTGGTTTCTGGAGCAGCTTAGAGAACTAAACAGAACGGTAAGTTGCCAGTGTTACAGGTGACGAAGCAGTTCTCCCGACAAGTCATGCCTTTGTGTCTTTCGTGTATTTCGGCTGGTGTTCAGAAGAATCAGGGAGACAACTTCCTCGGATTTCAAATGTTCTGCAATTCTTTGCAGGGGTGGTGTTTCACAGAAAACATGGCACTTGATGAATGGGAATGCATAGTCATGTGCTCTTCTTAGGTCTAGTGTATTTGTGGTTGGAAGCCTGTGCCAATTGCGCCAACCTGCGTCAACTGGAAATTACTGCCCCATACTGCTCGAAAAGGGTCTTTTTGGACTAATTTGCGCTATTGCTGCGCCACAAGGTGGTTTTTGAAATGAAAGTAATGTTGACAGCATGCATCATGATCCAATAATTACATGATTTTCGCTTTCTTGTACACTTGAGCTGCTGCAAAAGCACGGAATGGTCCGATCAGTCATATCGACTTCAGCGCGATTGCGGCGGCACCTTTTCTGGTAACCGTTGGCCAAGAACGAAGGCGATGTGGCGACTACCGAAAAGTGCTCCAGTATGATTTATTACCGACAAAGAGCCGACATGTGTGGCCTTGCGCTGCTTTAAGGGGGCAGACTGGTTTTTGAAACCAAAAAGGGGCCAAAAATTCATTTTTAAAAATTGACATATTTGGTTTCTGCAAGTATTTTTCTATCTCTCTGCAAATTTTTACACATCAGGAAGTAGTAATTCTTTTGTAATGTCATTTCTAACTGTCCAGATTCTCGATGCTGTTAACATGCAGAACCTGCAAAAAAATGGGGAACCGACTTCGAGGCTTCTTCATGATTTGCCGGCACATGTGTTAGAATCTTTGCTACGAATTTATGAGCACCTTTATGAGGATTGCAAAACATGTGCACCATGATTGTTGCTTTTTGAAGAAGCTGTGTGTTTCCAGTTTTTTTCACTTTTCTCAAAAAAGTAAAATTACGACCGTTCAATTTAGAGGCCTCAATATCTCTGCAGCTAGGGCTGGTACAACAATAATTATTTTTGCAGTGGAAACATGTATGTGTGTAGAATGCAAGTATGGGAGCAAAATTTCAAGCCCAAGCCTTTTTAGTTAATTACTCATAAAAACTGTAACACAATTCCAACTGCTTTTGAAAATGGATTGTTAATCTTGCTGTAAGATAATCAAAAAAGGCCTAAGAACAAAAAACTCTTGTATACTTTCAATCTAAAGCCATTAGTCTATGTTGGCATATCTTAAATAACATTTTTAATTGAGCACATTTTTAATGATAACTTTAAACAATAAAGGGTGAACTTAAGTTATCTCAGGAACAAGATAAAACTATTTTAATATTTGAATTCAGCAGAAAAACTGCATAATCCTGTGCAGTTTGATCAAGATCACTGAAGAAATAAACAATGAAATGTCTAAGACCAGTCTGCCCCCTTAAATGGGGGACGAGCCCTTTGAAAACTGAATCGAACTATCGAGAAAAAGTCGATTTTTTGAAAACCAGATATACAGGTAGTATGTCTTATAAAACTATTTCTTCTGTAAATATTGTTACGGTGATTACAATGTCTAATTTAACGTGCTGCGGCAGCCGGTGAGTGGCCAGTGAGCGCTAAATATTCGCAATGACTACGGACTATAGGTGGCCCACCGTGCAATCCAAGATAGCTGTGGGAGGATGATCAACCCGTGAAGTCAAATTGAAAAAGATAGGACGTACTGACGTTTTTCCCATGCCACTTTCACCAAATAAACTCTTGATAGTTGATTGAATGTATATCGTACCAAAGTACCTTCCAAACAATAGGAACTGCTAAATGTTTGCTACCTCATTTCTTGCCGCAGTGCAAAGGGTGGTGGTGTCATCCAATCAACCGTGCATCAACGACACCTTGCGTAATCTTGCACATACTACAGAAAACTTCGCGAACTCGAATTGACCTATGAATTGAACAGCACACCGAGATTATTTGTGCTGAGCCTGCCTGACAGGTGTGTCGCAGTAGTGGGCCACAAGCAAGTAGCGCGCTGTTGCGACTGCATGGGACTGAATGTTTAATTTACCGATGGTTTCAAACATACTACGCTATCATCATTACCTGGCATTCACACACTGTAAAAGCACTGACGAATGCTATATGCATGTAAAACAGGGTGGGTTTCAACTGGAAAGGTCAGGAGATAACATTAACTATCCAATGTGACTGCAGAAAATCTTGTGAAGCTGATATGTGTACCTTGGGGCTACAGTTAAGCCTGGATATAACGAAATTGATAACTTTTCGGAAAAATTTATTATAGAGATTTCGTTATATGCAGGTTTTGTATGAAAATTTGGAAAACAGACGCGCAAATTAAACGAAAGGGGGACTGAAGACAGAGCTAACCCATAACGCTTATTTTATAGTAAAAAACTGCGTTATTATTGCGACAGCAATGATATGGGCACTCGGCAGGTTTTTGCCGTCGCCGCTGTGTTCTGCAACAAGTCTAAATTGATAACATGTCCCCGCGCATCGCGTCGTAACTCTCGAGCGGGTAAAATGGTGCGAGCGCTAAAGCAGAGATCAGATGAGTCGGCCTATCCCTATCACCTGCAAAGTGCATAAGATAACATCTCCCGCGTGTTAGAACTGCTGTCAAATGCTCAAACAGAAAATAAAGCACCCATCTTGAACGAACATGAAGCAACCCGGGCAGGGGGTTGGGGTGATCGCTCGAGTAGCAATTATGAACTTGTAGTTTAAGGGCGGTCGCGATTGCTGGCACACTTGCTATCTCGGTGAATATCTGTGTGGTTTCAACGCGAAAGGACTGTGTGAAACGAGCACTTCTCTCTGGAGCAGCCGCATTTCCTCACGCCAGCGTTTTGTAGGAGTCCCGCGATATCGGGTCCAAAAGAGTTAGCTGCCAGCCTTACCTCTTAGAATACCACAATTATTCACTATCGCATTAATTGCATTGCATTGCATTCAATACACCGTCGTGTTGCCAGAAATAATCAGCTAAACGCGAAAGCTACCAGCCTATGCACTCGCACAGCGGCGCAAGACGGGAAGTGCGTGACGAGTCGGCCTCCAAAGGTCCATTGTCACCGAGGTCTCGGAGAGTTTCCATCAGCGCCTAATCTGTCATCTTCTCGGTGGTGAGGACACGATGTTCGAAATTAATACAAATGAGTTTCGCCGCAAGGGCGAAGCAATGAATGCAATAGTAATAACTTGGAATGTAACGCTGAGCAAGTAGATCGAAACATACAGCGTGCTGTCACGCACAAATGACTCACGAAAACAACATGCACAGGACGAGAGCGAACTAACAACGTTTACCACTAGACACTTAACTGGCTGTTTAAAAAAAAAATGAGGCACGACGTAATCACAGGTACAGATATGAGTGCGAACTAACACGTGCCCCAGTTGTTACTTCGCTGTGATTGAAAACTGCACTTTTTGTTTTAGCAAACGGCGCCTGTCCAGCGAGCGATGTCACCTTGATCTTCGTGGGCTCGGCAAGTAAACGCAATCGTTCCACTCAAAGTTAAAGGCGCGCAATTCTCCTCACCGAAGGATAAGCGCGCGCTAGCTTTTAACTCTCCCCCTCCGCAGTGGGAAGTATAGTGGGAGATTAGCGCGCGTCAGCGCATCGTGACCAGCTCAATGCCGAGCACGGGCATTTTTGTCATGCGTTTTTTCAAATAATAGATACGTATACATATACAGTGAATAGTGACGGCCGCGGCAAAAAAAAACCAGCCGAGACTGTCCATATACAATAAAAATTCTTTAATTCGAACCACAAGGGAAAGCGGCCTCAGTTCGAATTAACGAAAGTTCGAACTGACGAAAGCGAAGAACAACAATATTACACTGCGAATAGGGCATAACAATTTATTTTCTGAAAAACTGTGATCGCGTTCGGCCTTCTTTTCTTGAAGGCGACAGCCAGCACTTTTTGCTCTAACGAGCGAATTTGGCGGCAGGCCTCTTCTTCGCCTTCTTCAAAGCTTAAGAAAAGATGGGCGGCATTAAATCCGGCCATGAATTCCGCAGCAGAGGGCCGCAATGGTGCTTCGTCCTCCTCCTCCTCATCATCGTCACTGGCAGCAACAGGTTCTGCACTTCTCACCTGACATATTATGTCGCCATCCGTGAGTTCACCACACACCACTGCACTTGAGTCCACATCGACGTAGTCCGCAAAGCAGACATCTTCCAAAACCTCCGCCATGGAGGCGGTGACGCCGTGTTCGAGCACTGGTGGCTCATCAGCTTGCAGAGCTTGGGTGCTGAAGCCACAGTGGCGAAAGCAATTTGTTATCATAAGCGCTGTCACTTGCTCCCAAGCACGCACAAGCATGTTTAGTGCACTTAGGAGCGTCACTTGGTAGTTATTGCACAAAATAATTCGTTTCAACATATGACGCCGATAAAATGATTTAAAATTTTTAATTATACCCTGGTCCATGGGCTGCAGTACTGCTGTCGTGTTTGCTGGAAGGAAGGCCAGCTCAATGGCCTTCGTCTCAACGGTGACTTTATGAGCCGAACAGTTGTCCACAAGAAGCAGGACATTGAGGCCACAGCGTTCGAACTTCTTGTCAAGCTTCCCCAGCCACTCCACGACCAGGCCTTTTTGTTGGCCGCGCAGTCTGACGGGAGGGACCGGATGTTCTTGAGGCAACGAGGACTTCTCGATTTGCCTATCACAAACTGAGGCAACTTCTCGGACCCGGTCATGTTCGCAGCAACCATTACAGTTATCCGTTCTTTACTTTTCTTCCCTCCCGTGCACTTGTCGCCTTTATATGTGATAGTTTTGATGGGCAGCAATTTGAAAAATAAAGCAGTTTAATCTGCATTAAATATGTTCTGCGGAGAATACTTCTCCATGTAGCCTTGAAGCACTTAGGAGCGCCAACCTTCACACGTTTCCATGTTGACGGCGTTCATTTTACCCGACACAGCACGAAAAACGGGGTTGTAGTGCTCGCTAAAATGGTGCA